TATATATATACACACACACACACATATATATTATATACACACATGATATACATTTTTGTTTATTTGTTTCTTAGAGACAAGGTTTCTCTGTGTAGCCCAGGCTGTCCTTGAACTCAGAGATCCACCTGTAAGGCATGCACTATGACACCTGACTTACGTTTTGATTTTTAAGTCAGGGAAAACAATGGTCATTTACTTCACACAAATTACTTGCTCATCTAAACAGTTAAAAGCACCAATGCCATAAAACACAACTTAAAAAAACAAGACAAACATATGCTTCTGACACCGGTCTACCTTGTAGGCAGCCTTGAAATGTCTACAGTGACAGATTCTGACCTCTCGACTCTAGATTCCCACCACTTGCTGCCACTGAGGAAACCATCCATACTGGGAAACCTCTCAGCTGCTCCGTTAGCAGCAGCAGAGCTCAGTGCAAAGACCACTCAGCTGCCTAGGAGAGAAACTGGCTTTTAAATCAATCCCCACATGGAAAAGCATCTTTTCCGGGTTTATCACTGATACTGACATCTCTCTGAAGTTGTGACAATTACAGATAACACCAAATGAAAATCTTACCTGGAAGCTGGAGAGCAGGAGGGCGCCAAGCCGCTGGCTTTGTGCTAACTTCACGCTGATTGACCTGCTGAGCTCTGACATAGAACAACACATTTAGTGAGCATCAAACTTAGTCAACAAAACAACAAAATTGAAAACCCCCTCCCTTGCCATGTAACCCAGCTTAAGGCCTTCTGAGTAAGAACAAAATTCTAATTTTTCCAGGCTCACCGAGGAATGAGGTTCACACTTTCATGCAGCCAAATTCTCAAGTGTTAATAGAATCTTTTCATGTATTACATTAAAATTTTATTTAACAAAGTAGTTGACAATATCATAATGAAACCTATTGCTCAATTAAAAAGCAAAAACAAGGTAGATAAAAATAATTTAGGCTAATGGTGGTGGCAAATCCCTTTAATCCCAGCATTTGGCAGGCAGAGGTAGGTGGATCTCTGTGATTTCAAGGCCAGCCTGGTCTATAAATCGAGTTCTAGGACAGGGCTACACAGAGAAACCTTTTCTTAGAAGGCATTTGTATAACAGGCACTGCAGTGTGCTTTAGTACATAATCCGGAAGAGCTATCTTCTGGGTGGGGCTGTTGCTCAGGGGTTGAAACCTTGCCTTGATTGTATGTGGACTGAATCTTACCCTCAGCACTGAAAAGTAAAAATCATTTCTTATAAACAATATAAGCGCCACTTTACAAATGAAGAAACTCTATCAACTAAGGAGAGTGGACTGTCTGAAGACAGGCTGAAGAAGCCATACTTCAAACACAAGTGCCAGCAGGATTTGTAGCACGCCTATGGTGAGCTAATATTAAAAGCCAGCACCAGCTGAACACCTGCTGTATAATAGACATTTTTCTTTCCTGCTATGCTCATCTCACGAAAAATTTAAGGCAAATATCTTTTATTTATTTGGGCTTTTTTTTGAAACAGCCTTGAAATATAGCCCAGGCTGACAATCCTCCTGCATCGGACTCCAAAGTGCTGAGATCACAGGCAAGAATGGCCACGCCTGGCATCGCTTCTATTTTGCTAACAGATGGTAACACTGTGGTACACAGGCTGGTTAGACTCCTTGCTCAAGGTTGTATAACAGGTCCTGAGAGTGCACTGGGTGGTGCTTTACACAATCACATTACTGACCCACACAACTGTAAGATGTACGTGTTCTTTTCTCAATGACATCCACTTAAAAACAATTATCATACAGTGGGGAGTTGGCTTTAAGAATTCTTGCCCTTCAGCTGAAGGTCTTTCTGGCCACAAGCAAGGAAGCCTGGTAGGTAGCCAGGGATAACTAGAAAAAGTATTCCTCTTATTACATGGATGAATCCACGTTATAGAAACTAACTGATGCTCTGGAATGGGAAAGAAGGTAGGGCTAGTCACGGACAAGTATGCACTCTCTGGCACAGCTGGGCAGTAACGCACACCAAACTATGGCAGCAGTTTTTGGGCTTGGCTATTTTAACTCAGATCCCTTCCAGACATGCAGCCACTTTAAAGGACAGTGAGTGATATGTTAAAAGAAATCCCAATGGCTGTAACGCTTGAGGGTCTGCTAGCTGTCACGGGCGCGTGTACTGAGGCTTATTTCCCCAGTTTACTGACTTTCTGCATTAATATCCTGTATTTTTTTTTGTTTGTTTTGTTTTGTTTTGTTTTTCGAGACAGGATTTCTCTGTGTAACCCTGGCTGTCCTGGAACTCACTCTGTAGACCAGGCTGGCCTTGAACTCAGAAATTTGCCTGTCTCTGCCTCCCAAGTGCTGGGATTAAAGGCGTGCACCACCACTGCCCGGCTAATGTCCTGTATTTTGATATTGACATGTCAAGTGATTATAAATTTAGACAAAAGTCACAAATTACATTCAAATATGGCATCCCCAAAAACCATTTTACTTTTTCTTTCTTTTTTTAGTTCTGGGGACTGAGTGCGGGGCCTTGGGCACAACAGATGTGTCCCTCACCACTGAACTACGCATCTATCCTCATTCAATGTATTTTTATGTGCATCTTCCTTCTGAGCCATTTCTAGTTAAAGAGGCTAGAATCAAACAGGTTATCAACCCATTGGCCTTCTGTCCCATCCTAGGGTATTACACACAGAAGAAACTCAAATCCCTAGCACCCTAGACAGGATGACATGTTAAATAATTAGCAACCAGGGTTTCTGTTCATGGCAGCTAATATGTAAACAGCAATTAATACTAAATACTCACTAACTGTGCCATCAGGATTTATAAACAAGAATGTGTTCACGGAGTTATCCCCATTTTATAAGTATGGAAACTGAGGCACAAGAGAGTGATGTGTTCAAAGCTGCATAGCTAAGACGTAGCCAAGTCCTGTCTACCTGCCACACTTTCTGACATTCCTGTCTTGCTGCCTCTTAGATGGGCTGGACATCCACTGCTTTATGTACACAGCACCCCACCTGTCATGCCCGGGTGAAAGGGAGCCAATGACTTCCGCCGGTTTATTCCTTTCATGCTCGATCGTCTCCAGGACTGCCTTCTGTCTTGATGACGGACAGACTGTTCTTGAGGGGACAAATGAAAGGACCTCAACTGAGGTGCCTCCTGGTGGTCAGCACCACAACCTTCCCCCTCTCCAGGACTTGAGCCAAGGTGGTTTTTTTCTTTTGAAATGCCTTGCGTCATCATTTCCTGGTAGGCAGAGGACTGAGGCAATGCTTCCAAAGGCTTGAGACTTGGTTGCAATTGATGATCCTGAGTCTCTGACATCATTGGTTCCTGGTCTGGCATTTGTTATAGAAAAGTCAAAATATAAAATCAAGCCTACCTCAGATACAAACCTCAGTAAGTATCTGAGCAAAGGGTGACAACAGAAAATGCACACACTCACAAGATGGCAAACAGTTGGAGTACCAGCTTCCTAGGAGCCTAGGCAGAAAGGAAGGAGGAAGGAGGGAAACCTATTATTTCCCTGGTGACGAGAACACAGAGAAGGCCTTTTTGCAAATCCACACATGTGTGATTCCAAATCCACCAGGAGCTAAGGAGGATTCTGTGATAGTTCAGGAGCCTGAACCCAAAGCAAGAGGCACTGAATTTCACTGTAAAACTCACCTTCTGATCTGGTCACTGAAGTCATCCTGGATGAAAACAGGAAAACAGGAAAATGAGGTGATCTGTTCTTCACATTCCAGCTCCAGTCTCACAGGGGCTTCACTATCCCATAATGGGTCTTGTGCTTCAAATGCCCTCACTTGCCTCCTCCAAGACCCTCAGCAGCAAGGTTATTATCACTGACTGCTGTCTTCAAGAACTCAGTACACAGAACCTATCTTAGCCCCCAGTTCCATGGAAGGTATTAGGATCTTTCTAGAAAACAAACAAAACAACCCCACATCATCTCTTCATTCTGCCATTCCTGGAAATCCTACTTTTTAATCTCTGCCCACATCTGTCCTTCTACCCATAAAGCAGATTCATCCTTCATAACACTGCTTAAATACGAAGTCACTTCTCTTTGGCAGATTTCGTGGCCAGGCATCTTTTCTCTACAGAACCGGCTGTAGACTGCACCACATCCCAATTCCCAGCACCTGTCACAGACAGCAGACGGAGAGAGGCAATGCCGGGCATCCCTCCATCTTGCATGTAACTCTCCCTCCCAAAAGACTTCTGAATGTGGAGGATGCTTGGTAAAGAAAAACTTCTTGCTGAGGGACCATATTGAAAAGACAAAGAAGGGTCCTTCAGGGATCTAAATCACCATAATCCTTTTGGCTGATCACAGACCCAAGCTTGGATAACAGACATTTAAGCACTTACGAACCTGTATACGTAACTACCTTCTTACGTCATTATCCCATTCAACACGTTCCACAACTCTGAGTAAGATACTCTATCAGGAGGGCCAGGTTCCGTAGGCAGCCAGCCCGGAGCATAGCAATGCAACCCGGGCTGCCACCCCAGCCCTCTGCCCTGTCCGTGCCCACTATCAGGGATGCCAGCACTGCCCGGGAGAGAGGAGTGGCCTTCCTTCAGGCGTCCTGTTCCTGTCAGGAGAAAGTCTCCGAGCCCCGGGGCCCTGTAGCTGGGAGCGGCGGGTGGGCCGGGCAGAGAGGCGGGTCAGGGGAGAGGGAACCACGTCCGGGGAGATGTCTGCGACTTCCGAACCCCAGAGTGACGCCCGTCCAGCCCAGCTCCCCTCCCCCCGTTCCTGAAAGAGTAAACCCAAGGTCACCTCTGCAGACTCGGCGTCACCGCAGAGGGTCCTCTTCCGCGTTGGTTCGGTTCGTGGTTCCGCGCCGCCGCAGCTACTTCCGAAACTCCCGCCGAATAACTGCGCACGCGCAGCCCGGAGCTTCCGCGCTCGCAAGCACAACCCTTGCCACCGCGGTGCGCATGCGTACTCGGCGTTCAACGTTCTCGCCCTAGCCCACCTTGTTCTAGTATTTTCGCCCAGATGCGGATCATCCACCTCTACAGCTACACCTACACCGGGGCATTACCCTCTCCTAAACCCCAGTTTGTTGACTTTTCCCGCCGTAGTCCTACCTATGAAAGTCAAGAATCTGGTGTACTTCTGTTGCAGCCATGGCTCCCCCTCTATCTCTGACTCCAAAAGTGTAGACAGTGACTTTCTCCAGGGAGAACTGGAGCTCTGAGCTCAGTTTGTCCCTTGCTTACCTACACCTGCTCCATGGGCCCCTCCCATGGGCCCTTAAGTACCCAGCAAAGTTCAAGCACATCCTTTGCCAGCCTTAACACAGGCCAACCCTACTGCCACCACCCCATGCCAATTCTTGCCTCTGCTCCTTTGTTCGGGCATGCTTTTTGCCTGGAAAGCCTTTCCTTTCTCCTTCCACCCTTCTATGTTAACCCTAGATGTTCAGTGCTCCCAGGAGGCCAACCCATGCCTGCTCCACTGTCCCGTGCCTGGGAGGATCTTCTTCAGGACAAGGAATAGAGGCATCAGAATGCTCCCAGGCATCAATGAAGTGATTCCTTTCAGATCTGAACCTTGTGAATTGAGAGTCGTACGAAAGATTCCAAAGGGGCAGTTGTGGTGGTCCATACTTTTAATCCCAGTACTGGGAAGACAGAGACAGGGGGATCTCTGTGCCTTTGAGGCCAGCCTAGACTACATAGAAAGCTCCAGGCCAGCCAAGGATACATAGAGAGACCCTGTCTCAAACAAAAGACAGAAAAAAAAAATCCCCCAAAGAAGCAGAAGATGCTTGGCTGAAGCATAATTTTGATAACTTTGGCCATTCCTCTGATGTAATTGAGGTCCCTTGCAAGTTTTATGGTAAAAGGTAGAAACGTATATTCCAGAAGTTTCTACTCTGCCATTCTGGCCTAATAGTTTCAACAGCTATCTGAAAGAGGTGTTTTTTTTTTTTTTTTTTTTTGTGGGTTTTTGTGTGTGTGTGTGTGTGTGTGATTTTTTGAGACAGGGTTTCTCTGTGTAGCTCTGGCTGTCCTGGAACTGACTCTGTAGACCAGGCTGGCCTCAGAACTCAGAAATCTGCCTGCCTCTGCCTCCCAAGTGCTGGTAATTTTGGTTTTTCGAGACAGGGTTTCTCTGTGTACTCCTGGCTGTCCTGGAACTCACTTGCAGACCAGGCTGGCCTCGAACTCAGAAATCCACCTGCCTCTGCCTCCAAGTGCTGGGATTAAAGGCGTGTGCCACCACTGCCCGGCCCCAGTCTTATATTTACAATAAAAACCTTAACCATCTTATGGAGAGGTTGCCACGATGGCAGCTTCTTTACTGTGTCCCTTACATACAATAAACAGTGTTCAATATAACCCCAGTGACCAAAGCTTTTCCTTCAGACACTGAAGTAGAATGCCTAGCTCCCAAATCCTCAATCCACAACCGTGGTAGGAGATATTTGGGGTGTTAATTCCATACTCGAATTCATTTTTCTTGTTATGGAAAAGCCTATTTTTCTCCTTTTTGAATGTGGTACATTTTTTCCTCAGTAGTGGTGACACACTTCCTGAGAGACACTGAGTTACCAGCACAAGATGCCCGAAACCCCGCCCCCTACCCCATCTAGGTGACTCCAAACTAGCCAGCTGGTTAGTTTTCCCCTCCTCCTAAGAAACTCCTGGTGGAATGGTGTTAGCATTCAAATTGGCTCTCCCCCTCCCCACCAGCCTCTCTAGGGAAAAGCAGAGAGCAGGCTACTGTTTATATGACATACTTTATTTCCAATCTACAACCATTAAAAACACTTTGTAAGTTTACACTGTACAGTTCTCATGTCTGAAATAAGACACAGGGCAAGGACAGCTGGTGGACAGATGCTGTCCTACCACCCCATTTGTCCTGGGAAGGAGCTTTTAAAGACAGAAAGGCGGAGGTGGGTAGTGGAAGGGAGAGGAGGACAGAACAGTAGAAGACAGAGGTGGACAGTTGGCCCAAGGATGCCCTTGGTCCCTTCCCTCCTGAGGGGTCCCACATGGCCCACGACTGCAGGACCCTCATCAGGAAACCAGGCTGAGCAGGAAGGGGCTTCACAGTATTGGCCAGGTTGAGGTGGGGAGCCAGGATGGAGAGGAGAGGCAGTCTCTAGCTCTTCCCTAGGTGCTGGGCATTGGAACTGATTTTTGGCACAGTCTACATGGTCTCCCTGGAACCGGGAGGGTGAGGAGAGGTGCAGCATGGGAGTGTGAGGTGAGCAGGCACGGGATTTTCTTCTCGCAGCCTTGGGCTTCTTTCCCTTTGTACAGAGGCCCTCTGGCAATGGTGAGGATCCCAGTGGATAAATGAAAAGGGTCCTTCTTGCCTCCTGCCTCCAGGGACTCTCCCCCTTGCCTGCCGTGATCACTTATGCAGCTTTCCTGAAAATCCAACTTAGTGGAGGATGTTGAGCTGTTTCCTGGTGATGTTTCAACTAGGAGTAGTTATCAGTGGTGCCCCAGCTGCCATGGCAACCTGGTATTCCTAAGACAAGCCACGTTGGCAAAGTCCAGCTGTAGAGGCACCAAAAGGTCTGGATAGATGCTAGGAATGATGTGGTGGGTGAGCCCTGCTGTGTGGAGAAGTAAACTAAGGCACAGAGATCAATAGTTGAGCCAAGGGAGGAACAAGGGTTGTCAGGCAGAACCCAGTGGATGCAGGGGAGGCTATGGAGCCCCCAAACACAAAGGATATGAAGCCCATACAGTTATCATAGTGCTCCTAAGAGGACCATAAAACTGGGAGGCTCAAACTTCGGATAGGTTTCCAGACCTAAGGTCTCTCATCATAGAAGTGGCACAGGTGGCTGGCTGCATGTGGCACGACAAGGAAGCTGGACTCAACTGCCTCAGTCCTTCCACAATATTCAGAGAAAAGCAAAGCCTCTCCCTTTAGGGTCCAGGGAGTTAGTGAAGGGCAGGAAAGGGAGGCCAGGTCAATGGAGTAGGCAGAGGGAAGAGAAGGGTCCCAGGAGGGTGAGGAAGGAGAGTGGTCAGGTAGAGCAGGGACTGTGGCCCAGGACCACATCCTTGGTCCCCTTTCATGGATCTGTGATTCTGCAAACTGCAGATGCCGTTGGTTCAGGGGATTAGGTTCTGCCAAGAGGAGCTGATTTGCAGGGGAGAACTGATGGGATGAACAGACAGGCACAAAACCAAAGAAGGAGAGGTCAAGCGTCCCCTTTACCAAGGCTACCAAGAGTGAGCTGGGCAGAGAAGACCCAAAGGTGAAGAGCAAGTCCGTGTCCACCACACATCCTCCCAGTGGAAGGTCATGCTATTGGGAGACTGAGGACAAGAAAGACAGGAGGCAGAGAGTGGGATGAGTCTGATGAGGAGGACTGGAAGAGATGGAGTACCATTATCCAGGGAAAAAGCAGACGCCCTTAGTGAGAGAAAATACAAAATAAACACAAGACAGGATAATTCCAGATGTCAGAGCAAACATTGGAGTTGGAAGACAAGACACGGCACTTCCCCAATGGGGTGGGCATGTGAGTTTGTTGGGACAGGAAGGAGACTGCCAGGATCACACACAAATCCACAGGAGGGAACAGTACACCAGAGGACACAGGAGGCTGAGGGCTAGTACTCTAGAGAGCCTAGGGCCCCAGAGGAGAAAATCTGGCCCTAGGCTAGGGCCACTTCGTCTGGTGGCAGGAACCACTTAGAACATAGTGACAGGAGGGAGATTCTAATGATAGAGGAGGAGTGGAGGGGTGTGAGGCAGGAAGTGAACCCCAACTAAGATGAGGATCCAACCACACCCCCGGAGCATGCTTCATTGACTACGTATAGAATCGGAGAGTCAGGAGCTATGCCTTGGGCAAGCATGCCCTTCTCCATATGTAAGGGGTGAGATACAAATGATAAATACTGGGTTCTACCTACATGAGTACCTAAAACAGGCCAGTGAAGAAGAGAGAAAGGAGACCAGAGGTCATCCGGCCTGGGGCAGGGGTGGGAGTTACTGTGTAGGGGTTAGTAATTACTATGGGGGTGTGGTATTGCAGTTTGGGACCAAGAAGAAGTTCTGGAGATAGTGGTGGTTAACACAATCTTGAGAATGAATTTAAAGGACTCTTAAGGCCAGGGCAGTGGCAAATGTCACTGGTGATGAGGCAGAAAGGCAGCAAGAGTTCAAGCCCATCCTTGGTTACATAGTGAGTTGGAGGCCAACTGATGATACAATAGATCCTGTCTCAAGGTAAATTCATTTTTTAAAGCCTCTTTGATGCTGGAGACATAACTCATGGGTAAGATGCGTGCCTCACCTGACTAGGCTCGGAGTCTCACCCCCAGCACGTGCAGATGCATGCACATACACACACAAAAGGACTACAGTAGCATTTTAACATGTGAGCAGGTTGGTGAGATTCTCTTCCAGTCCCCTTCTATTTAAGGCCAAAGAGGGAAGGGGTACATGCTACCACTGAGGGGGCTCGATGGCTATAAAGAGTGTGGTCAGATTCAGTCAGATTTATATAGAACGTCAGCTTTTTTAGTCAAACAGGCATGATGTATTTGGTGTTCTCCACAGCCACCACTTTATAGCTGGGGAAACCGAGGTATCGACTAGTCCTGTGATTTGGCCAAGGCCATGCACATGGGTAGCAGTTTATTATTTTGTAAATTGTCTTCCGGAAGACACGTCTTATCTTGGGTTAACCTGGTATTACACCCATCAGCTCCAGGGTCTTTAAAGAGACCTCAGGTTCCACATTAGTTTGTCTCTCAGAGCAACCGTGATTGGCTGACGAAAGTGATTAAGGCCTGACATGTTCCTCTTCTCACCATGGCCTCTAGGAAACTCGAGAAGGAAATTTAAGGCTGAGTGTGGTGGTGCATGTCTGATATTGCCGAACTTGGGAGGCAGAGGCAGGAAAATTACCACAAATTTAAGGTCTACAAAGCAATTTTCAGATCTGCCAGGGGTAGTGTCTAAAACCAAAAACAGACAAACAAATATCAGGGGAAGGAAGGGGGTATAATTTAAATTGTGTAGTTATGGGGATTATAGCGGGGAGACTGGGAAAATAAATGTTTTCCTTTTTCTTTTTTTCTTGGCAATGCTGGGCAAGTGCTCTATGGCTGAGACACACATCCTTAGTTATATCATCTTCTGGTCTCCCAGCTTTGTCTGTTTTCCAACAGTAGGGAGAGAACCCAGGGCCTCACACATGTGAAGCAAGCATCCATCACTGAGTCACTCACCACTTTCTAAAATCTTTGAGATGACACCTCAGGCTGACCATGAACTCACTCCATAGCCCAAACAAGCTTTGAACTTGATCCTCCTGCTTCTGCCTCCTGAGTAGCCAGGATTAAAGGCCTGTGCCACCAGCCTTTCTGGCTTTGTTTTATGAAACATATGACTTAAGGTGGAATGCTGGTTTTGATGTCCTTTGAAAACCCTTGGAATAGTGTTTGGCTGAAACACCTTTACCCCTCAAATCACAAGTCAGTGCTCAGGGCTCTTGTTCAGGACCAGTCACTATGAACAGTGACTCAAAATGCAAGTTATGGATGGCTGGTACTGTGAATGTAAACACTGGTCACTGGTGCTTAAGGATCTCCAAGGGGCTAAATCCATAGAATCTCTGTCCAGAGGCTGTGGTAAGGCTTAGAAACCTACAGAATGAACCTGCTCTCAGAGGTTCGGGTGCAGGAGGTCCCTGGACTACCCTCTGGAATAAAGGTCCAGAATTGAAAGCCTGTCTTTGGGTTTGGCAGTGGTGAGTTTGGGATGCTTTGAATCTAGCCAGCGTCCCAGTGAGTTTGTATAGAAAACAGGGAAGAACCCAGCTATAAAGTTGAAGACTCTCTGGTTCAGGGCACCAGGGCAAAAACTCTGTTTTCTCCTTTGTGGAGAGCACTAAGCCCTGTCCTTTTAAAACTACCCCTCAAGAGTTGCCCTGGAGAGACTAAGGAGAGATAGGGAGAGGGTGATATGACCCCTAAACAGTATAGTGCTCCAGGGAGGACGGTGGAAGAATGTTTGCTACTACAGTGAGGAGGGAGAGGGAGGCAGTGGGCAGTTGAGGCTGGATCCATTCTGGGTGGGTGGTAAGGGGAAGAGTCTGGGTATTGTCTGGGTAAAAGCTGAGTGACAAATGTATCCATGAAAGGTACACAGAGTGGCATGGTGGTGCCTAGAAGATCAAGTCTTTTGAGTACTCAGTTTTGTCACCTGGAGGCCAGCTGGTAGATGAATATCCCTGCAGAGCAAAGAGACAGGGCCCAATCTGAGCTCCCAGAGAACAAGATCTCTAGAGGCCAGCCTTGGTGAGGGGAGGGCTGGGAGGAAGGCTCCAGGGCAAAGGGAAATGGATGTTGATGCCTTGTTCAGTCAAGAGCCCTAAAGACAGTCTCATTTGGTTTAGCCCTGGGAAGAGGTGAGATATAACTTAGTTGCAATCATGTAACTTAACTCACCCTCCTGCCCCCAGCCAAGCTGTGTCAACCCTGTGGGCACAAGCCTCTTTTAGAGGACGGGACCCCAAGGCTCCTTGGGACATTGGTTTGAGGAGGAAGAAAAAGAGGAGGAGGGGGAGGAAGAGGAAAGAAAGAAGAGGAGGAGCAGGAGAAAAGCAGAGGTGAATAGAAAGAACAAAGCTAGAAGGAAGGGCAGAGCTCCTTCCCATGACCCCAGGCCTCAAGGGGCATGCCCCAATGTAAGCCAGGCAGTTTTCTGCTTTGGGAATGTTACCAAGACATAAAAGGCATTTGAAGAAACAAACAAACTTAGAAATTACATTTCAAAAGAGTAGAGAGATTTACAAACCAACCCTTCCACCCCACCCCCAAAGAAAACAGAACCAGTTACCAAGTAAAATGCTAAAGATCAAACCAAACCGATATTTACACGTAACAGTTTCAACCCCATAGAGCCCTATGTCCAGAGGCTTCCACAGGGACAGTGACAAGTGGCCTTGCACAGTGGCAAGCAAGAATTAGAAACGGGGACTGAAAAACAAGACCTGGAGCTTGCAACACCTGTTGGGGGGCAACAGGAGCCAGGTGCTGAGACAGTGGAAATGCACAACCCATACAGAGACGATGGTAAGGCTGAATGGCCCCTAAGCCCTGAAGTTCAGGACTATGGGGACTTTTCTCCAAGCCTCCCAAGCTCTCAGCAGCTCTGGGAGGTGGCAGAAGGCCTCTGGTGGCTTGTGGCCTGGTGTGGTCCCCTCTGCTAGAAATGACCTTAGAGGGGCCTCTGACCTCTTAGAGGAGAGCAGTTGCATCCTGCAGGGAGCTGGCCCATGGTCCACCGGCCTGCTGGCTATGCCCACGCAAGTTACTGGGCATGAGTCAACAGCTGCTGGAAAGCACTGACCCTGATATACTGCCCATAGGGAATGGGGTGGAGGGGCTTTGGGTAACTGGCCCAAGTGTCTGTAAAAAGACAGCCTGGGTACAGGTAGGTGGGAGTGTAGAGGCATCTCCCTAGTCCTGGAACAAACCAGCTATACAGCTGGCTCTCTGCCTTTCCGAGGGGACCTCTGCACAAAAGCCAATCCATCCCTGGATGAGTCTGGGTCCCCAGCCAGGGAGAGGAGGGCGGCACATCACATGTGTACAACTGTTGGTTCCTTGGCACCGAGGGGAGGCATGTGAGCTCTCCCCATCCTGCAGCTGACTTATACTGGTGTGGTTCGAGCGACTTCTAGGGGTGTAGGAAGGACAGGCAGTAGAGCTTGGGCTTGAGGAGCCATGAGTGGCTATAAGGCTAAGAGAAGGGCTGGTGAACAGGCTGGCAGGCTGGTAGACACTCTCAGATCCATGTGCAAAGCTGCAATACACAACATTCTACAAGTCCATCCTGTTTTCCTGTGAGTTCTTACTTCGGGAACGTGGAAGAGTCGCTGTGCTCGGAACAGAGCTCCAGTCATCTGTGTTTGACTCGTGAGAAAAGGTGGTGGAGGGAAGGGAGGGATAAGAAGGATCGTGGAGGATATCTGGGGAGTGATGACATCACTCTGGCCTGCAGTTCGTCTGAAGCATTTACAGTCTGACCTGTAGAGGCTGGGCCAAGTACCGGGCGATGAGGAAAATGTAGCGCTCTGAGACTAAATGGCCAGTGGTATTGGAGGAACAAGGTGCAGAGCCCCAGCTCTGCCGAGCTGGCAAACCTGAAGACCTGAGCCTGGTGCTGAGCTGCCTCAGACACACGGGGGGCTCCATGGTGTCACAAGCCCTACGCTGCGCCAGGGGCAAGGATGCCACTAATAAATTACCTTAGAGGCTCTGAAGAGGGGAGAGGGGGGTAAGTTAAATTATTAAAATAAAGTAAATGACCTTAAATATTTATAGTATGAAAAATTCAAATAAACAATCTAGGCAAATAAACAATGTAGGCCCTTATCTTGGGCTGTGCCTTGGCCTCTTGGTGCTCTCTGGTCTGACCTAACCAATAGTCTCTCCCAGGGAGCATTTCTGCTCTCTGCCTGCTGCAGGACTGTGGCACCTAACCCTGCTATCAAGAAAGAGGCCCTAGGGATCAAGGCATGGCATGTAGGCATTTACCTCTTCGTCAGATGGATGCTACCCATTTCTGTTCTCATGGAGTCTCCTACAAAACTTGGGCCTTCATGCCCCTATGACAAGGGAGTCGGCTCTGTGGACCTCCTACTCTGAACCCGACATACTCCTACCTGCCCCCCCCCCCCCACATGGGGGCACAGGCAGGGGGATCCAGGGCTCCAGGATTCCAAGTGTACTTGGCCCTGAATTCTGTTCTATCATGTCCCCCTTCTCTGCTCCAGGAAGGCCTAGCAACCAGAGCAGCAGGGCAGAGAGGAGGGAGCAAGAACTGACGGTCACACCCAGGCCCAGCTCTTCTGAAATCCTCAAGCTGGGCACTACACAAAGCAGTGGAATCCTCTCAGTGGCTTCTTCTCCACATGTGGTCAGTAGGGAGCATCTCTGTCAGCCCTGTTCTTGGAGCCTGGCTAGAAATGCCTCCTTTTCTGGATCCTTCTAAGAAGTGGTGTAGGTGGTACCAGGCCCCCTTTAGGATCCAGAGCTGACTTGCTGAGCTCTTCAGGTGCTTTTGAGGCCCAGTCCTGGTCACCCAGGTTTGGTCTTTCTCCTCGCTCACTGCCTTCCCCTGGAAATCAGAGGTCACTTCCCAGCAGTCAGCAAGACACCTTGCTTTACCTTAGTGTGAAAGCTCTTCTCTGGCAGTGGCACAGCCGCTGTTCCTCCTGGATGGACTGAGGCTGAGGACTTGACCCCTTGCCTCATCTCCAGGGTCTGGGCTGCTTGAGGCAGGAGCTTGGTTGCTCTGTGACTCACTGGGGAGCTGCCCTCTCCTCCCCGCCCCAGCCTGACTCTGAAGGGTGCAGCCTGCACTTGGAAGGAGAGTGCCGGATGGTATTGCGGGATGGCCTGATGAAGCAGGAGGCAAGCGACTGGGCGCTACAGTCACAGACGGCATCCTGGGGAGAGACGGGGAAGAGGTCAGGAACAGCCTGAGGCTTTGGCTACAGCCACCCAGGACCCAGGAGCCAGAGATGTCTCATGCTGAGACAGGGGCTGAAACTCTGCTCTAGACCATGTTACTTCTACTAGGGCAACAATGAATCCACACTCTAATAAAGTCTGCAAGGCACAGGGAAGGCAGATGCTCTCCAAGGTTGAGACACTCAACATTCCACACATACATGACCGGCATCCCACACATACATGACTGGCATCCCACACATACATGACCAGTACGGCTTCATCTCTAAAGCTTGTTTCAAACCTGCAAAATACAAATACTTTTCTGCTGCTGTGAAGTCTCTGTTGGTTTTCTTTGTGTTATTGTTGTTCTATTGTGTTTGGGTCATGTGTTTGCATGTGTATTTTGTGGACCACAAGTATGGAGTACCTGTAGAGTCTGGAAGAAGGTTGTCAGATCCCCTGGAACTAGAGTTACAGACAGTTGTGAGCCATCATGTCGGTGCTGAGAATGGAACCCAGGTCCTCTGGAAAAGCAGCCTGTGCTCTTAACTGCTGAGCCATCCCCCCAGCTCCTGGGTCTCAGTCTTAATGGTTCTATAGTGTTCTACTGAATGGAAATACATACTTTCCAATTTGCTCCCCCTGCCCCGTGCTAGAGATGGAACTTAGGGCCTCAAACAAGCCAGGCAGGTGCTCTACCTCTGAGCTACCTCCTCAGTTCCAGTTTACTCTGTTCACTTCTCTGTGTCAGGGTCACACTGTGTAGCTCCAGCTAGCCTTGAATTTACTATGTAGCCCAAGCTGGGCTCAACCTGTGGTGCTTCAGTTTCAGCTAGTCAAATACTGGGATTAAGGGCATGTGCTATCACATACGGAGTGCTAAGGATTTCCAGATTCACTTTTTATGTGTATTATTATTATTATTATTATTATCATTAATTTTTTTAAGACAAGGTTTCTCTGTGCAGCCCTGGCTGTAGATCAGACAGACTGGCCTCAAAGATCCACCTGCCTCTGCCTCCCACTTGCTGGGATTAAAGGCATGCGCCACCAAGCCTGGCTTATTCATTTTTTTTTTAAATTATTATCAGAACAAAGAAATGGTGAAAAGCACTGCTGTAGAACCCGACTGTTCTCTCAGCTCTGCCACTTGCTCGGCAAGTGACTCGCTACGAGCCTTTCTCTCCTCAACAATGAGAGACGTGTTGTTTCTCAGGTTGTGAGGGTCAGATCAAACAGGATATATACAGGATATGACATAGTGCCCACCTAGCATGTAACACGTCTGAGTAACACACTCCTTTCTCCTGTCTATCTCTTTTTTAAGTATTGGGATTGACCTCAGGGCTTCCTATGTGCTAGGCACATGGTTTTACCATCTCACCACACTCCAGCCCTGAACTGCTGTTGCTTTCCTTCTTTTAAAAAAAGGACATATTTAAAAATATTACACACACACACACACGTCTAACTATATATGTCTGAGTAGTTTGACTCCTGTACATAAAAGCACCACATGCGTGCAGTGCCCAGAGGCCAGAAGAGGGCATTGGATCTCTTGGAACTGAGTTACAGGCAGTTGTGAGCCACAAGGTGAGGGCTAAGAACTGCATCCATGCAAAGGGAGTCAGGGACAAGTTTAGTGACTTAGTTTTCTTACTGCTGCCATGGATTGGACCCAGGCCATCACTTTGGGGGCAAGGACCTTTTGCTGGTCCCGTCTTCTTACCTTTAGACTTAAACTGAAACAAGTGCACTTCCTGACCACGAGGGTGTCCACCTTCAGACTGGGTTAAAGTCACTAACTTTCCTGGTTCTCAGGCATTGAGACTCAAACTGGAACTAAACCACTGGCCAGACCCCATGTTGGACTCTTAACATTGAAACACACTCACTCTCTGTCTCTCTCTCTGTCTCTCTCTGTCTCTCTGTCTCTGTCTCTGTCTCATTCTTATATTCATTTATATTCTCTTCCTCTCTCCTCTCTCTCCTCCTTGAATGTATTAGGACTAAACTCAGGGTCTCACACATTATAGACTTATTTGGTGCAACTAAGCTAGACCCTAATCTAAACAACCTCTTCTGAAAGACTATTTGACAACACATCAAATGCCTTATAAATTTATAAATATTCTTTTATCCTATTTCCGCAAATCAAACTTAATGAAATAATCTGAAATGTAACTTTTTGTTTTGTTGAGGCAGGGAGGAGAACCGTTTAAGACACACAAATATCTTCCCTAAGTTTAAGAGCCAAGAGGATCTTGGGATGTACCTAAGATGGTAGGGTACTTACCTACTTAGCAGGCATAAAGCCCTGGATACAATCTCCAGCGCCATATACACCAGGTGTCATGAACATACCTGTAATCCCAGCACAGAGGCAAGGGAATCAGGAATTGAAGGTCAAACTCAGCTACACAGAAAGTTCAAGGCCAGCCTGGGCTACATGAGACTCTGACTTTAAAGAAAAGAAGCAAAACAGAGAACAGCACAAAACAGAAGAGTTTGAACTCTCTAGGCTAATCCTCCATTCTGAGAGAAGAGTAAGTCCATCCGTACCTCACTGGGAAGGATCAAGGATCCATCTCCATCCCGAAGGACACCATCCTTCCCCAGCTGGGACAGCATGGTGGGTCTGACCTCTTCGCTACCACCTGCCTTGGCTGCCTTCTTATTCAGGATCCTGGCTACACCCTCGGATTGGTGGTAGCTGGCTGGCGAAAGGGGCTCTGGTTTCTTGGAGCTCTCCTCGCCTGCTGCAGTAGTGGGGCTCGGGGCCCGGCCACACACGTTCCGGAAGAACTCCTGAACAATGCCATACTTGGGAGGCTCAGGCTTGGTTCGGGCCTCGGACATGCCCAGTTTCCACACAGACTCGGTGCTCCCTGAGTGTTCCACCACACTAAAGAGGCTGGACAGCCCATCATTGATGTTCCTCAGTACTGGGCTATCCCGTGTGGTGGTGGAGCGAGCCCAGGCCGAGCCATTCTGCTTGCCCTGGTGCAGGTTCCACAGGCTGCGGTCCTTGGTGCTGTCCAGCTTGGACACTGATCGCCTCTGGAGCTTGGGTGAGCCATACTTGGGCGAGCAACATGGCCGCTCAATGCGAGAATGGACCTTGTCCAGGGAGGAAGAGATCTGCTTGCTTCGCACCGACACAAGTGAGGAGCTTCGGGGGGACCAGCTCTTGCTATGGAGGCTGCTGCGGGGTGGGTCGGTCTGCAGGCCTACACTGACCGTCCGAATGGTCTGGGTGCCCACAGTGGCCAGACCTACTGTCTGGCTGGACGTGCTCTTTACCTTCCTCTCCAGGGAGCCGGAGCGCATGGCCTGCCGCACGCAGTTGGTGATCTCCTTCATGTCATCACTCATATTGCCTGACATCTCAAAGTCGTGCAAGGCTGCGGGGAAAGCAGGGCCAGAGCCTGAGGCGCTGGCTCCAGACCCTCCGTCCAGCCGCTGCCGAGAGAAATTGCAAAGCCACCGGCTGTAGGAGCTCTCAGCCAGCCCGTCAGCCTCGGCTGACTCCTTGGGCTTGGCTGTGGTGAAGAGGAAGCCTGGCTCAATGAGGATCTTGCCCTCCTTGTCATGGACCACAGGGACGCCCAGGCGCCGGGCCACTGGGGGACTATAGTAGACTCGTATTCCAGTCTTGTCTGGAGCCGTGTAGCTACGCTGCATCTGTCTCCCGGCAGGCTCCTGACAGGCCAGGCTACCAGTGTGGCTACAGTCCCGGGTGGAAAGCCCGGGCTTTTCCTTGGCATCTTTCTCAGGCTCCACTGGCTCAGTACTCACAAAGGCAAAAGCAGGGCTGTTGGGCAGCTTCTTGGTCCGGGCATCTCCGCCAGCAAGGTAGGGGGAACAGTCGAGCAAACTTTCAAACTCAGACATGGAGGAGACTGATTTGGTCCTGGGAAAAGTAAAGGAAGAAAATGAGGTTAACGGGAAATAACACGTCAAGCACGCTGCTCTACTTACCTGGACATGCACGTGGGGACCAAGCCTGTCTTGCTTATCTCTTGTAGCCAATCTGGCTGCTACCTCCTCAAACCCTGTCTACACGCTTAAGTAGCAGAAACACTAGGACCACAGGTAACCTCTAGGCAGAGGAGGCCAGAGGCAGCTCTTTCAATCCCAAGTGCAGGCCTTAGCACGCGATGGGTGGACTCTGGAGTAAGCACCTTGCCTCCTCACACACCTTTGCTAGGGAAGCTCTGATGGGCTCAGCCTCTGCTAGCTCCCAGGCTCCTCTGCAATCCTGAGCTCCAGCTACCCCGTGACTATCTTGGTAGGATCCCAGCCGCCTCCCTACCCCCATCTGCCCACCCCCATGGATCATTTGACACCCCTTTGACCCACTCACTGCCCTCATTCACTCTCTGACATCCAGGCTGGGTTTGCTACTGGAGTCCTCTATACTGCATATGACTAGTCACTGTGCAGCTCGGGGGCATCTCCAATTATCCCACAGAGACGGGGAGGCACCCAAGGCCCCTGTGCTAGGAATGGCAGAGCTGGAATTTACACCTGGCCCTCTGGCTCCAGTGCCCCCTCACTCTAGAATGTTCTGTACTGCCCCTCACTTCTTTCACAGAGGGTCTTAATGATGGGAGCACTATCCTTGCGTATCCCCTTGGTCATAACGTGGTAGTAGGCCTAATGGACACCGTCCAGTAATCCCCCAAAGAGATATCTTCCATGATTCAAATTCCAGGGAGAAAAAGAGAACCCCAAAGGAGCCAAATGGCTTCTTTGTTAGCGAGTGCAGCTGAGGCACCCGTTCTCCATACCCAGAGTCAACATTAAACTGCAGGCTGCGATCCGCATGGCCCCAAGCTCCTTAGTTCTTGAGTGCCTGGGGTTCCCGGGGCGGGTGGGGGGGAGATCTGGTGGTTCTCCCAACTCTCACGGGGTGAGAGTGGACATACGGAGCAGGGGAGAAAAGAGAGTCAAAGCCAAAAGTCTATAGGGCTGGGGCCAGAGCTGTGGGTAGAGGACAGGACTGGGGGATGAGAGGCCAGCACCTCTTTAAGCCGGTTCCCCCAAGCTCAGCTTCGGAAACGCCCTCCTTGTCGTGGGTCTTCTCACTTCGTGCCTGTCAAAGGAAGAGACAAGAAGTTCAGTTCTAGTGACCAGTGTGTGACAGGTGATGACAGGGGACCCCTGTGGGAGCTGAGCCCAAGAATCCACACGTGAGTTCTTTCCTCTGGAGAGTAAGAAGCGGTCATCAGCAATCTAAAGGGTCCACTGGTCATGTCTGGACCATTACCTCTCACCCCCTTATGACAGCAATGTGATCCAGGCTCAGGTATCTGGGGTGCAAAGAGGGACCAGAGGAAGGGGGACCATGAGACAGAATTTTTTCATGACAGCCGCTGTACAGTTGATGGTCTGACAGTGATTGTGAGGTTTTCCCACACTGGGTCTAGAGACACAGCCCTCAGGGCCCATGAGTAAGCAGAAGCGCATCGCTAGTCCTGTGAGCCCCTCAAATTCCTCTCTGCTTCAGTCCCCAGAACAGACATTTGGCCTTTGTAGCCCCACATCCTGAGTAGTGTGCCACTCTTCATATCACAAGGGGGGATAAGATGAGGGGCCTGAATGGAACCTTTGTTCCTCAGCTCTGTGTTCTATGGACAGTACCCCTGACCTTATATGTGAATTCCTTCACTGTGACCCTACTGACCCCACTCAGGACGAGGCCAGGGCAATGAGAAACTGAGGCTCAGAGATGGAGAGTGACTCACCTGAGACCACACAGCTTTTTAGAAGTCCTGCTTTCTGTTGAGATATAACTGAACTGGCCTGGGGTTTCTCCCAGAGCAGAGAACCCTTCCCAAGTCCAAATCCATGGGCAGGAGTCATGGGGTAGTGACTCTGGGGCTAAGGAGTCCAGGGTGTAAGGAGGGTATGGCTTCTGGGACAGAGTTAGCATCCTTCTGTCACATTTCCCACAAGCAAGGAATTTTCGGGTACAGTCAGGGCCAATAGAAGGTGGGTAGCAGGGATGCCCTCACCTCTTTCCAGCTGTTGTCTTGCTTCTCCAGGTCTGAGTGCTTCAGGACCCAGGGCTCAGCAGCCTTCTGCAGCTAAGAAAGACGAAGAGTGTTTGTTGGTGGGCAGGGCTACTCTGAGCGGAGTCACTCCCCAGCCTCAATTCTGTAGGACACATTGGCTTCTCAGTAGATAATAGCTCTGAGCCCCCACAAGGTGGATTTGGAAACCAGTAATAGAAGCAGCTACTGGCAGGCATTTTCCTGACCTGGCTAACAGAGCTAACAGGTGCTACTGCTACATTACTCTCTACTGCAGTTCACAGAACAGCTAGGGCAGATGAGCAGTAGCTATCTCACACAGGGACCATGCTGCGATCCTGCTGAGTCCTGAGGAGTTCCCTGGAGCACCACACTTCCAGGGGATCCATCTGCATGTGCATGTCAGTTCATTTAATCCTCACAGCAGCCACAGGAGCAGGTGTGACTGTGATTATTTCCAGGTTCGGGCGAGAGGATAAAGTCAGCAGAAGGAAGGCCAGACAGCTCGAGCAGCAGCTGGGATGACGGGTACCACCCCATCATTCCCTTCGAATTCCTCCATCCCTTCACAACTGGTTCCCACATAGGGTGACTCACCCTAGTTTCCCCAGGGCTTTCCCAGTGTTAGTAAGGCTCATGTCCCCGCCCCAAACCTTTCAGTTCTCAAAAAGCAAGTAGGCTTTGTCTTCCACTTCCCAAAGGTCCAATGGAAGTCCTAAGCAACACCAGGACAGGCTGGCTACCTGTTTGCACTTGAACCCATGCCTCAAACTTTGCTTACTAGAAACCCAACATAAGCAAACAAAAAGGGACGGCAACAAAAGTCACCTCAGCATGAATGAACAACAATCACAGATGAAGATGTAAGCCAAGGCCCAGTCAGAGGTATCTAGGAGCACTGTCCATTCTTGTGGCTAGCTCTTTTATTCCCTTGGCTGTCCTGAGAGATAAGAAGATTGAGCAGCCATCCTCCACATATAGATGAAGCCCAGAGATCAGGGGTATTAGAGCCAGGAGTCCCTTTGTGGTAGTTTAGACAAAAATGAGTGCCATAGGCTCACAGGGAGTGGCACCACTAGGAGGTATGGGCTTGTTGGAGAAAGTGTGTCACTGGGGCAGAGGGCTTTGAGTTCTCAAAGGCTCAAGCCAGGCCCATTGTCACGTTCTCTTCCTGCTGCCTTTGGATCTGGATGTAGAACTCTCAGCCACCTTGCCAGCACCATGTCTGCCTGCATGCCACCATGTTTCTCGTCATGACAATAAGGGACTAAACCTCCGGAATGGTTAACCAGCCCCGATGAACTGTTTCCTTTATAAGAGTTTCGATGGTCAAGGTGACTCTTCAAAGGGAAGAGCACTGACTAAGACACTCTTCCTATGGCTGCTCTGCGGGTGGCTTGACTGGGCTGGTTATATCTACAGCACGGTTATATGGATGTGGGGGCTGACCTCTGTGAGAGGCAGAGCCAGGAGAACTGAGCACTCCAGGCTAGGCTGAGTCAAGTACTGGGATACACAGTCTCAAAACAAACAAATAAGCCGGGCGGTGGTGGCACACGCCTTTAATCCCAGCACTTGGGAGGCAGAGGCAGACGAATTTCTGAGTTCGAGACCAGTCTGGTCTACAGAGTGAGTTCCAGGACAGCCGCCAGGACTACACAGAGAAACCCTGTCTCAAAAAAAACAAAATAAATAAATAAATAAATAAATAAATAAAAATAAATAAATAAAAAAAGGAAGGATGGGGGAGGAAGGAAGGAGGATGAAAATAAGAAATATAGGAGGCAGCTTGGGTGTCCTGGTTTGAACGGAGGGAAGCAAATTGATATCAAAAGGTTGCAGGAGACCAGAGCTAGGAAGCCAACAAATTCCATACAAGGTCGCAGCTGGGAAATCAAGTACAAGAATGAATACCTGTGAGCTGGCAGGTCCCAGCGGTGTGCCGATACCTCACTAAGCATGACACGGATTTGGTTTAATGATTTTTAAATCATTAAAAAATTATATTAAAAGTTGGGCAGCAGTGGTGCATGCCTTTAATCCCAGCATTTGGGAGGCAGAGGCAGGCAGATCTCTGTGAGCTTGAGGCCAACCTGGTCTACAGAGCAAGTTCCAGAATACTCAGAGCTATACAGAGAAACCCTCGAAAAACCAAAATGATGATGATGAAGATGAAGAAGAATCACTCATAGACAGGAAGTGGCTATATGGTACAAAAAGACGCTCTGATCAGATTTCCACATGGCACAGGGGATGTGGTTTGATTTGTGAGTGTACCAGCCTGAGCTTGCCACACATAGACACCAAGGAAATGTGACCCTCAGAGGTACAATGTTTCTCCAGCTACTGAGTGAGATAGAGAAAATCTAGTTCCTTGCAGGGGGTCAGCTCAAATCAAGAATCTGGAATCTGCCCGATGTTGGGGCTGGAGAGATTGCTCAGCAGTTAAAAGCACTTGTTGCTTTCCCAGAGGTCTCAGGCTCAGTTCCCAGCACCCACATGGCAGCTCACAACCATCTATAACTAGTTCCAGGAAACCTGACACTAGCTGGAGGCTCCAGGCACGAATATGGTCATATGCATATAAATGAACAAAACACTCATCCACATAAAAAAAAAGGTATATTTTAAAAAAAATCTACCAGACATCAGAAACAGGACATTTTGGCTCATTTTCCTCTTCTGCAAAGTGGCCTTTTACAGAGCTGAGAGGGTTTAAGATGGCATTCTGAGAAGATGCCCAAAGGTGGTAGCTCTTGGAGGGATGCTCATCTTCCTGTCAGGGTGAGTCCAAAGACTGGAGAGTCATGAGAAAAGGCAAGGAAGAAGCAAAGTGGGTCTGCACACTGCTCTGACCACACAGATGTGCGTGCACACACACACACACACACAGACACAGACACACACACACAGACACATGTGTACACACACACAGACAGACACACATGCACACACACATACACACAGACAAACATGCATACACACATGTGCAGGCGCACGTGCGCGCACACACACACACACACACAACAGAGAAAACCCCCCTGAATTTCGCTTTCACCCGCTCTCTAGCCATGTGAGAGCCCGTGAATGCAGCATTGTAAACACTGTATACATACACATGTGTGCAGACTACAGTAGGGGCTGCATTCTGCTTGTTTGATTGTTTGAGACAGGGTTTCATGTAAACCAGGCAGGCTTCAAACTAAGTAGCTGAGGATGATGACCTTGAACCTCCAATTCTCCTGCCTTTACCTCCCAAAAACTTACAGGCACGAGCTGCCACCTTTGGCTCCCGTGGTGTTGGAATCCAGCCCAGGGCTTCATGTGTGCTAGGCCAGTGCTCTACCAGCTCCAAGTGAAACACGGTGCCTGTCAGTGTGGACTGACTGGGAGTCAAGCAGCAGTTAAACTGAGCGAGGCTCTCCTTGGAGGAGGGACCTGCACATGCAGCGGCACAATGACTCAATTAGTGAAACCCAAACAGGAAGCCCTCTGCAGATGTACAGCTACAGAGCCAAAGGGACAGAGCAGATGGAATATGTTTTTTTTGAATACTTAGGTCTTGGTTTCCCTTTCTGGTCAGAGGACTCTAGCTTTCTTATGGGAACCACTCTTGGCTCTTCCCATTTGGGTCCTGGGTCTTGAGAGGCCCTACTGATGGGTACATGATTGACACCTGCTCAGTGAGACCTTCTGGGACAAAAGCACTTCCTTACTGCAACTTGTAAGCTGTAAGACGTGATCGGGAAAGAACAGCCTTCTGTGAAGCCGCCATGTGTAAGAGCGAAGGAAGCCAGCACTGGTGTGGGGAGAGGCCCAGAAGACTGCAGCAGAGGGAAGGGCCTGACCCTCATGGCTGCCTCTGAGCTCCGGGATCCAGCTGCTGCTGCAGAAGAGCCTTACCTGACTGAGGCAGTTCTTACCTGACTGAGGCGGTTCTGCAGCTCCTTCACCTGCTGCTCCACCTGTTGCTTCTCTCCCTGCAGCCGCTCCACCAGCTGCAGCTTCTCCTGGCTCCAGTGGCGCTCACTCATCTGCAGCTGCCTTGTCAGCTCCATGACAGCACTGTAGGACTCTGCCAGGAGGTGCTGCTGCTCTTCCCGCTCTCTCTGCAGTGCAGCCTTCCAGTCGGGCCCGGGCCTCTCGCTGGCACCCTTCCCAGTCTTCAGCTCCATCTGCAGGAAGAAACACCAGCTAGCTGGACAGTGGCAGGGGACACTGGCTCCAAACCTATACGGGGAAGGTCTTCAGGGACTCTCCATACTATGGACCCCTTTCTACATACAAGACAGACCCTGAACCCAGTGTTCTCTTCCTAAGCCTCTGTAAGCAAAGCACCACTTCCTGTCTGTCACTGAGGCTCCAAGGTGTTAGGTAAACCTTCCACATCCTGCTACAATAGGCAGAGACCCCAGCTACTGATAACCATACATTTATCAATTCTTACCCGCAGCACCAGTTTCCACAGGTGGAAGACATTCTTTATTCCCTACCCCTACCCCCTTGAAAGCTGAGCCCCACCTTGTCCCTGAGGACCTGCATGGGGACATGTACATGATACATGGGTGACGGAATGATCCAGGATATTTTTCTCAGCCTAGACCTCATCATGGGGAGGCAGGAAAGAAACACACAGCCTCAAGGCTCACAGGCTCCATGGATCTGAGAATGCTGATCCTTACGAGGCTAGTCCAAGAGCAAGAGCTCCGGGAATGGCTGGGCTTGTGAAACAGTGAGGGGGCCTTGGGGGAACCCTGGAAGGTGGAGCTGGAAGGAAGATGGACATCCACAGGGTGAGGAAGAGCGCAGGGCTCAGGAAGAAGCAAAGAGTCTACACACAGCAGGTGAGGGCAGAGACGCACCCATGGGAGCAAGAACATGTCTGCTACTTAATGCTTAGGAGAGAAACCTAACTCCTCTGGGCCTGCTTGGCCATCTGGCCAGCAGAAACCTTCAGGGTGCCTGTCTCCCATGGCCACAGATGGCAAGGAAGGCACCCTGAAGCCAAGATGTGCCGGAGGAGGCCAGGGCCCCAGCCGATAGAAGCACAGAGTCAGAGCATTTTCTGAGTGAAGAGCCTGCCTTCTCATCTGTCAGACCAGAGTGGGGAAACAACTTGCCCCCAGGCACACAGCAGATGCCAGCCCCCTGGGAATTCCAGTGAGAGCTCCCTTAGTCAGGCTGGGTGGGTGGCTGGAGTGGAGACCTCTATTTGAGTCTGAGGAACACATCTGAGCCAGTGAGCAGGGGCTGGGAGTCCTTATGAGGAGAGAAGAAAGCAAACGAGGTGGCAGGCAGCAGTGAGGCAGGAGTATGCGGCCTATTACCAAGTACAAGTGTGAGGGCAGAGGAAGCCCAGTGAGTCAGGTCCTGAGGTTACGTGTACTCTTGACATGGGCACAGTCATGTCAAAGACACCTGGCCACCCTGGGACCCATGGAGACATGGCAAAGCGGTTTGCCCCACCAGGGTGAGGCTCAGAGGGAAACTGCAAAGCCTTCCTCTGTGTGCGGGTGATGTTAATACTGTGTACACATGTCCACCTCAGCAGCCTCCTCCAGTATTCGCGGCCTGGAGACAGCTTCCCTACAGAGTGCTTCTGCCTAGATTAGCTGAACTTGTCCCCTGATACTGTATATATACCATAATCCCCGCCTCCCAGTTTATCTCCATTAATAACCACCTCCAGTGTGCTAATCAACTTCACAGTAAATAGGCTGAGCTTCCAGAGCACAGTGGTTTCTCCACAGAGAGTCCAGATTGCCTGATCCCAGCTTTCTGTGTTTCCTTGTGTCTGCCTGACTTTTCTTCACTCTCTCCACATCCCAGTCAGGTCTATTAGGAGCCATGCTGGATGTGGCAAGCGGGAGGGCATGGAAGCGTTCTGTGAGTCCAGAGTGCAGCCTACACTCCCGTCAGTCTCTCTGGGGCGCACGGTGAAGTACAGGGAGGCTTACCTGTGAAGCATGGCCCTTGAGCTCCGCCCGTTCTGTCTCCCAGGCGGCCTTGGCCTTTGCAAACTGCTGCTGAAGCTCGGTCAGACCCCGACGCTCGTCCCGGAGCAGCCAGCATAGCTCCTTCAATGTGACCTTCATGTCAGCCAGGGTCTTGATGTACTCATTAGGCTGCCGACAGAGTAAGGCCTGGTCAGGAACTTTGTGAAGGCAGGGAGGGCGGCCCTGGCATAACTGACTCACCCAGGAGTCCAGCTGGGGCCCTACCAGCCTCAGAGAGTCCTCATCAGGCCCTCTCACCAGTAAAATGGGGCTGAAAGCCTGTCCTAAACAGTGGAGCTGAGCAGCAAGGCTCACACACAGTGAATTCTAGTACAGGAGTAGATATTCTGCCCAAACACAGAGAAACAACCTCTCCTAGGCTTTGTAGGCCCCCTCCCACCTATGGCTTGATTTGATAGTTCTTACTTAAGCTCCCTCTTTGTGTGACCCTTACCTGGTATCCTCACGCTCCCACAATGTCCCATTGGCCAGCGCCACTCCAGCACACCTTGTCACACCTCTGTACATGCGGTCCCCTGGGTTCAATATGGTCTTTTTTCCATTCTGAATTCAACAAGCCCCTATTCATCCATGGAAATGCATGACGTGGGACCCCCTTTTCTAACACGGTTTCCTATACAACAGATTAACCGCTTCCCTTCTTGTAACGTCGGCCTTCTGTCAGTACCCTGGGATGTCCCCCAAGCATTGAGCAACTGATGGGCCTGAAACCAGGCAATAACCATCTGCAGACCCTGTGTCCAGTCAGGGCTGAGAAGACAGCAGGAAGTGCTTATTAATGGACATGGTGCACAGGGGTGGGGCAGGACCAGAAGGGTTAAACACACCGTGTTCTGGGTCCAGCTGTCCCCTGTGCAGGCCTTGTTATCCGAGTGCTGGGCATTCATCTCCTCTTCCTCCATCAGCAGGTACAGTTCCTTCATGCTGTTCACCTGGTTTGAGAAACCACATTCAACAGGCTCAGCTTTCAAAGGATGGAGACGCCAGCAAGCAGACCAGATAGAAAGGAGATTGCACAGCCAGGCAGGAAGGATGGACAGCTCAGGATGAACCAAAGCCCCTGACTTCCCATACCTTAACTGTGACCTACTCCCCAACCTAGCACTGTTGAGGCTGAGACGCAGAACTTCTGTCCCAGGTCCCCTTTTTCCACCCTAGGCTACGCTCAGCCGTACCTCCAGGAAGTCATCCTCCTCGCTGGGCAGAACCTTGCCCTGCCGCCAGCGCTTCAGGAACCACCGGAGCTTCATGAAGAGCAGCAGGAAGTTGTGCTTGAACTGCTGGGACTCCTGAACCAGGATGTTCTTCTCCTGGCTCCAGAACTTCTGCTCCAGTCGCCGCTGGAGGCTCAGACTCTGCAGCTCAAACTCCCGTCTCAGCAGCGCCCTCTGCTGGTCTTCTTTCAGCTGTCAAGACAGGAGTGAGCAAGGGAGGACCCAGTTGATTCCAGACCCAGACAAGGGTAGAGGGGAACAGTAATGGCAAGTGCCTACTGTACTGGGGACCCCTGCCAGGGCTTCTACCCCAGCAGCCCATTGTATCCAGGGAAGAAGAACTCTCGAAAGCGGCAGCAGTGGGCTGGAGAGAGAGCAGTCACTAAAGTGCCCTCCATACAAGCATAAGTTCACTCTCTAGAACCTGCATATGACAGCTCAGCCACCCAGTGTGGTCTAATAGGTGAGCCCAGGTGCCAGGAGGGATCACATCTCAAAACCCTGGGCACACAGCCTGAGGAACGATCTCTGGCCACCATACTCTGAGCACCTACAGAGCATCAGGTGTTTCCCACGGCTCACACTGGTGAGTGGGGACTGCAGAGAGGGCGGGTGCAGAGCAGAGCATGCTGGGCTAAGGAAGGCTGAGAAATAGGAAGCCTCCTAGGGGGCAACACTGGCTCACAGCTAAAGGAGCCAGAGGCCCGGGATGCACAGCTCTGAGCAACACACGTCTGCTCTGTGCTCCTGTCTGCAATCTGTCTGTCTCTTCAGCATGTCCTATCATGTGCCACCAACCAGTAAAGAGGGGGCATCTCGTAAGGGAGGAGTACGAGGCCAGCAGGATATAATGTGTGTAGGTTACGTGGGCCGTCCAATGAGGTGTTTTTTTCTTTTTACATCCGCTTACTGTTTTGTATGTGTATGGGTGGGCGTAGCCGCCATGGCAAGTGTGTGTGTGTCAGAAGACGAGAGCAGGTTAGTTCTCTCTCACTGTGTGGGTCCCGGGGATCAAACTCAAGCTTGGTGATAAGTGTCTTCACCCATCTCACCAGCCTCGACACCAAGGTTTAAGAAATGCTATTACAGAACTATCAAATTGATCCACAGCCAGGCTTGGTTGGATACCATTTCACACACAGGAAACCGAGGCCAAGAGATGAAACAAGAGCTGGAGAGATGGCTCAGTGGTTAAGATCACTACCTGCTCTTCCTGAGCACCCAGGTTCAATTCCTAGCACCCACATCAGGGAGATCAAGGGAAACCTGACACTTGTAATGTTTCTGCAGACACCTACACAGACATGCATACATACACACACATCTACATGTAATTAAATATAAAAAGTCTTTAAAATTTTTTTAAAAAGAGATGAAACAGAGACAGGCCTGGTGATGAATGCCTTTAATCCCAGGACTCGGGAAACAGAAGCAGATGGATTCCTGTGAGTTAGAATCAACCCAGTCTACATATCAAGTGAACAGCTAGGGCCACATAGAGAGATCCTGTCTCAAACAAACAAACAAAACACAAGCAAACAAAGCAAAACCCTGAAAGATTAAGCACGCTCAATGTCACCTAGACAGCTATTATCATGTGCATGGCTCCAGCCCAGCCTAACTGTTGACAACCACAAACTCAGTGATACCCTGGCAGGGTGCAGGGGTGGGGAAGCTTGGGCTTTCCCAGTGTTATCCCCTTCTGAGGACCCTGCTTTTAGTAGTGTCTGATGTCTTCCTATGCTGGGAACAGAACCCAGAGCCTCTCACGTGCTGGTCAAGTGTTCTATCAAAGAGCTATCCCATGCCCTTTAACTTCCCTTCTGAGACAAGTTGTAGTAGGTTAAAAAAAAAAAAAAGTGGTACAAACCCACCTGGACCATTTTCTGGTTGAAACTGTCAGCCTCCTCCTTGCGGAGCTGCCGCTCCTGGGACAGCTGCTCTTGCAAGCCCCGGAGGCTGTCGTGGGCCTCGGCCAGGACCAGCTGAAGCTCCTTGATCTACGTGGGATGGGGGCCAGACAAGGAGGAGGGAGAAGACACAGGCTGTGTCAAGGAAGGGCAGTAATGGGGAACCAACAGTAAGCTGGACCAAGTGTCGTCTACCAGACACAACACTGTCCTTGCCCGGGGGCCATCAGGACAATTACACAAAGCAATACATGCCAAATTCTCCCAATACAATTTCAACATTTCTCTCTTGCAAACTTATGTGCAGAAAAGAAACATCCCGCAAAAACTAAATGTGAGTCACAAAGCTGTTCATAGTCTCTTTAATTGATTAGATTTAATTATGTGATTACATTTAATTGACTACTTATTTCTGATGTAGAGTCTCACTCTTTTTCACGGCTGGTCTAAAACTCCTGAGCTCAAGGTATTCCTCCTGTTTCAGCTCCCCCCAAGTAGCTGGGCCTATAGGTGCCTGCCACTCACAAGTTAGTGCATTTTTATAATTAAAAATTTAGATGCAATTTAAATGAAAAAATGAGGCTTCAGATGTGTTTAATGGGTCTACATGTGTAAAGCTCCATTCAGACAGACAGTCACAGAGGCTGTCTTTGTGTGTTGTTATGTAACAGAAATATGGTGATTATCAGTGTGGTCAACTACATAATGATCTTGATTTTCTTTGTATCTTCATGTAATAATGCTGCTCAGAAATTTAACTGTGCTTATTTGTGGATTACAGTGACTATGAACTAAGATCATTTAAAAAAAAAAAAA